TGAAGTCAGAGCTGAAGACACATAACAACATCCCTCCTCTGTCACCATACAGCCAGACAACCTACAAAAACATACAGCAACAGTCCACATCACATTAGTTTGTTTGTTCTGTATATCACATTATGTGTCTACACCTTTTTGTATTGAACTGATTATTCAATAAAAAGTATTGTGCACATTTGTTGTCATTCTGATCTTGTCAGTCGGGTCAAATATGTGACTCACAGAGACAGAACATTAGCTTGTTTGTGTACTGAAAATCGGATTATTTTATTTTAAAGATGACCGAGCAATGCGCTGAGGAGGTAGAAGCATAGAAACATATGCTATTCACACAAGCCTCATTCATACTAATGTGCTCATATGAGGACATCCTCAGACCTCAGCATTAGTTCTGTCATTTGACTGGTCAGGCTGGTTCAAGCATCCCTTCTGTCTGCAAATGACCATATTTAATATTTATAATATTAATTTTTAATTTCTGGATAATGATTTGATGTCATTTTTGTGCTTAACTCCATTTGTGTGAGTGGCATATTTACTCAACTTCTAATAGGGTATTTTCACACCTAGTTCGTTTTAACCCTCCAAACGCTCTCAGAGCCCCCCCGCTTAAAGGGACCCAAAAGCGAACCTTACTTAGGGCCCATTTTATTTTTCCCCAAATTCCGTTTATTCCCATTTAAATTTTTCTAGACTTTGTTTTAACGGTTAAATTAATAAATATGAATAAAAAAACATGTTTAATTAATTGAAATCATGAAACTTAATAAATTTAATAAATTACAATTTATTAATTTTTTTTTAACCAAATTCTGTGTTTTCCATTAATTTTCTGGATTCCATTTGAATGGTTTCATAACATTTTAATAATCAAAATCATCTTAAGTAACTGATTTTATAAAAAAATATTTTATTATTAATTAATTCATTTTTTTTTTTTTTTTCAGAAATACTGTGTTGTGTATATACATTTTTCTGGTAAATAAATAATTTTTGTATATGATATGACGATAGTTTTTCTTTACATTTATGTAATCTTCGGCTAGCTGTGCATTAAATAATTTTAATGCATGACATGGAGTCAACAAACCACCCAACGTGCAGCGGAGATCTAGCATTCTGCCCACTTTAAATCAGACACAGAGATAGCGGAGATCTAGCATTCTGCCTGCTTTAAATCAGACACAGAGATGAAGTAGTGCTGTAAGATCACATTTATTTGAATGCATGAATTATAGCATTGTTTTGAAATAATTAACGAGAGAGAGAGAGAGATGAAAGTTGTGTGTGTGAATTGCACTCTGCAAACAGTGAAGCTGTGGAGTTTAGTTATTTCAAAAAAGTGATTTTACCCCCTAGATGCCAAAAAATATAATGTAGCGATTCAGTATCGAAAGCCATTATATTAGTACAATTTACAAGGCAGTGTTGACATCATTTGAATACTATCTTTTTAAGAAAAAAGGAAGTTAAATTAACTTTACAGATAATGTTCCCTTTTAATTTTACATTTGACTGAAATGTGTTGTTAAAGTTCTGGAAAAAGCTCTTCCTCATCCCCTTCCCTGTCCCCTTCATCTTCCAAATTTTCCAATAGGTCAGACTCCAGCATTCCACTGCTGCACAAAAAGCTGGGGTCTGAGTTCTTGTGAAGTTGTGGTGTGAACAAGAAAAAGCCTTAGATCACTTCAGTGCTGAAGATTCCGTTGGATATCATTAATGTCTCTTTGTTTGAAGTATACTCCACGTCTCCTTGTTCCTCGGTCCCTCACAGTAGCGAACGTGACAGAATACCGGTTTGTGACAGAAATGCTCGATTCTCCGCCCTAGCCCGCAGAGATCTCTCCTTCTTTGAGTACGCCTGGGAATTCTGCGGGCTCGGGACGACGCCACCATCAACTCGCTGTTCTGGATCGGGGCAAATTACTACCGCCCCGTTGACCTCCCAGACACCACAGGACTAAGCTGGAGGGAAGGGCTCCTCTGGTGTCTGGAGAGTGTCCGGCCTAGATCTAGAACCAGCCCGCAGTCCAGCCCACCGGCCGTTCCTCAGTCAAGCCCGCCGGCCGCTCCATTGTCAAGCCCGTTGCACTCTCAAGCCCTCCAGCCGCTCAGCAGTCAAGCCCGCCGACTGCTTGGAAATCGAGCACTCTCCAGCCCGCCGGCTGCGGCATTCTCAAGCCCGCCGGCCGTTCCGAAGTCAAGCCCTCCAGGCCGCTCCTCAGTCAAGCCCGCCGGCCGTTCCGAAGTCAGGCCTGCCGGCGGTTCCATTGTCAAGCCCGCCGGCCGATTCCCTCCCAAGCCCTCAGCTAAAAGCGGTCTCTCTCACCTCTGTTCTAAAAAGGAGAATGCGGAGGAAGAGACTGGCCAGAGAGGGCCACAGTTCCAGAAGTCAAGCCCAGGGAGGGCCGCTGTTCTCACATCCGGCCCACGGAGGGCCTCAAAAGCCGATATTCTCCCCAAGGATTTTTTTGGGGGGGTTATAGGGATCCGACCGTAGAGGCTAGGCTGAGTGCCGAGGAATTGTCTGCTGAACTGTCTGCTCCGCCATGGCCCCCTGAACTGCCTACTCCGCCATGGCTTCCTAGTCTGCCTGCTCTGCCATGGCTTCCTAGTATGCCTGCTCCGCCATGGCTTCCTTCCGGTCTACCGTTCACTACCTGAACATTGCCAGACTCCTTACCTGCTTAACTACCTGTTGTTTCCTTACCTCCAGAAGTCCATTACGTCTCCGCGATCCCTATTCTCCTCAGCCCCGGTCTGTCTCCAGGATTCCTGCAAAGATCAGAACCCAGATTACCAAGAAGCTAAGAAACCCCGAACTTTCATATCTCTCATACTCACCTGCCTTCGATCCTGCCCATCACAGCACTGTTAATAAACCCTTCTGTTTACCTGAACTCCTTTTGTCTCTTGCCTGTTTGTGACAAGTTTCTTGTGTTTCAGTGAATACTGTGTCACACTTCACCCGTAATTATAGAAATGTCTGATTATATACATATACAATATACTGTACATCATAACCTTCGCAATCTGATGATCACACTAACCAATATCACATTCTCACAACCATGCATTGTTAGAATTTATAAATAAGTTACCAGCCATCTGGCAAGTAACACCCTTTTCATATACTTGCCAGAGCCGTGTTAATTTTGGACCCTAGCCAAGATGCTACGGGTGTCCTGTACACGGCTGCAAGATGCTAGGCTGCTAGCTTGTGCAGTGCTGTCAGAAGCTATCTTTGAAAATGCAGCAGTTTTAGTAATTGTTTCCGGCCGTTTCAATCTTAGTGCAATCCGCATCTACAGACATCTGTATAAATATGAAAAAATGCCTGCAAATGTTGTTTTTGTCTCTAGTTCTGG